TTTTGTTTTGATGACCGAAAAGTTATTCCTATTTCCAAGTAAACACATATAATCTCATAGTGATAGCAATGTTTAACATATTTAGCAGGGTTTTAATCATACAAATGCAAATCGCTAGCTTTCATGCTAAAAAATACTGGTTTTTGAGTCAAAAGTTATTATACGTCGTTTGGTGGCCCCTATTGTTACTTAAGTCAAAGTGTATTTACCAGGATATTCGGGAGAATTCTCGATGAACATTTCAAATGGTCCTATCTGATTTGATCGATTCTCTTCATCGACTTTCTCTTTCGCTAATAACTCAGCTGCAAAACCTTTCCCTGTTGTATTTGACGTTTTGGACGCTAGATAAGAACCTCCTTTATCAAACTATGTGGTAGAATTAGCGCGAAATCTGTTTGCATAGCAGTGGTTATGAAAAGAGAAAGTCGATGAAGAGAATCGATCAAAGCAGATAGGACCATTTGAAATGTTCATCGAGAATTATCAATTACGTCTCCTTACGTGCAGCCCATTCATCATTTTAGGACTACCGAAATCATCTTAGCAACAAACAGTTCGATTTATTCACTTTAATAATGAGAAAGCGAAACGACGAACGTACACTTTTCACGGGTTTCTCAGCGCTGTTACTTACGTCAAACGGCATCTCCATAGAAATTGGGTGACTTAAGTAACATCGAAAACTATTTTGAACGGAAGGTGATTACGTCAAAAAGCAATTTGACTGGCAAATAAATTTAAAAATAGGATTTGATCCTATATTCGGACAGTATATAGTGTAATAGCAGGAGAATCGATTGACACTGATAGCTCGACTTTGTTTACCTTTGTTACATTCGACGTAATGAAAATTTGCTCTTGATTTTTACTTTAGAATGACAGTTCTTACAGCAAACAAAAAATTTCTCACAGCTAACAAAAAATTTCATCTCACTAAAGTGGACCCTACACAACAGTTTGTATTGACAATAATCGTATTGTCAATACATTTTATATTGACGTTAATACATCGGTATTGACAATATTTCTGTATTCACATCATCAATCTTATTGTCAATACTTGTAAGTATTGACAATATTTCTTACCGTGTGGGGTTAGCTTAACACACGCAAATCTCACCAATACGAACCCGCCTGGAGAGGACTATAATATTTATTTAAATCTCGATGAACATTTCAAATGGTCCTATCTGCTTTGATCGATTCTTTTCGTCGACTTTCTCTTTCGTCAACAACTCAGCTGCAAAACCTTTCCGTTTTGTATTTGACGTTTTGGACGCTAGATAAGAACCTCCTTTATCAAACTATGTGGTAGAATTAGCGCGAAATCTGTTTGCATATCAGTGGTTATGAAAAGAGAAAGTCGATGAAGGGAATCGATCAAAGCAGATAGGACCATTTGAAATGTTCATCGAGTCGATATAAGCATTAACATCTCCAGAGGATCATCACCGATCGTTTCAAACATATGCTGCACTCTCATTGGTGGAAAAATGGCAGCACAGTGAACAAAAAATAATCGATTAGTTGTTAATCGAGTAATTGAAAATGGGACATCTCTGATTTAGGCGAGGGGGACGACTCTATCTACGATGCAGAAAAGATTGTGTTTTGCTGTGGCTAGCTGCACGCACGCTGAGTAGATAGAAGGAAGATTTATGTCGATTTTGAAGATTTCCTGCAAAAAGATGATGCACGATGCAAGTAGATGCGAGAAATGAAAGATGATTTTTCGAAGATTGATTCGCTAGTGTGAGATTTTTTGAGCATCTAGAATTGAGATTTAGATGTGTCGCCCCCCTCGGATTTAGGTGTGATTGTTTTGATAAAAATGAGCGCAAAATTTCATCCATACCGAGGGGTTAGCAAAACCACAAAATTACCTTGAATACGGGGGGTATTCATTGGATGAAAGGGACCGTGAAAGAGGACACTAAAATAGAAAGTTTTTCTTCCGACAGTTTCATCTTAGTATTCATCTTTGGTATCACTGCCAATCAGATTGCTGTGATCCCTCTTTCTTCTTCATTCCTTTATTAAACGTCGGTCTCTGTTCCGCAATCTACACACTAAGATTTTTTTACAGGAGTCAGTATTTTTTTACTGGGTTTTTGAATTGCTGAAAAAGTCGGTAAAAATTCAAATGACCGTTATCCGTAAGGAATCAATGAAATCGATCAATTTTATTTTCTATCATTAAATGGGGTTAACAGAACTAAGTATGTACAAGTTCAGAACAAATTTTCTCATTAATAAATTTTCCACAGATTTTTAAACTTTTACCGAACAGTTCCGCAATTCAAAAACTCGGTAAAACCGTACTGACTCGATTAGTGTGTAGTGCCCATCACCGACGGACATTGTTTGCCATCTATTGACAACAATGGAATGTGCGGAAGGCAGCTTCCACACCTGCGTAGGATATCGCACCCATTCAACACACACTTACCTTCCGAAGGAAGACGTGACACGAGATTTTTATGCCTTAGAAATATCCCACCGATCTCGGCTGGGGTTGAACCCAGACGCATTGGGGTGAGAAAGCAGTCACGCTTACCACCACACCACCGGCACCGGGTTAATCCCTCTTTCCTTGTTATTCCACGATTGCTGCAATCAGCAACTGGCTCAGATTTGACCGTAAATTGACCTTTCTGACATTTATAACGAGCATACACTTGCGTAATCCCATTTTCAAATGCGAAGTTTGTTATCCTCACTTTCGCTCCAGCCAAAAATGTTGGGTTGTTTTTGTTATTAGAGATTGCGGGGTTACTAGTTCAGTTACTAGTGTAATAGAATGCTTTGTTGATTGTTCATTAACTCTTGATTGCTTGTAATACTTCTGAATATTTTAGGTGGACAAAAAGGCGAACTAAGAGGTGGACGCCTGAGCTTTTCCACATTTATATCGCTGTGAAGCAACTGTAAACTCTAGAGGGAATTTATATTTGTAACTGAAACCAGTTCGATTTTGTTTGCCAACCTGGTTAAAATGTCATATTTAATTATCTTAAAGAAAAATCGTCCAACTTCAACTTTTGTAGGGGTAAGAGGTAGGACCATCATCATCATCATTCTCACCTTCAGACCATCAATACTTGCGCATATAGAATAGACTAAAGAGCCTGAATTTAGCTTCTTTAGAATAGACTATTGGCTCGAAATCGCTACCCGATTGTCAAGCCCCGTCCCAGAGTAAAATAACAGCACCAATTGTTGTTTCTTTCGACGAACCTTTGGTTGAGATCGCAAACCATGCAAAAGATGACTGATTTAAAAGAAAAGTTACAAAATCTGTAAGTAATTACAGGTACGGGTGTCGTTCTGAACTGGTATTGTAAATGTCTCAAAATATGAGCATGGTTTGACTCATAGGCTTTTCAAAAACATGTAGAACAGTGGATTTTAATGGTTTCCATTATATTCGAACAGATTAACTAAATTCCTTTGTGACATTTTTCTGTCAAGGCACTCATAACTCAAAATCGTGCATTCTGAATTCCTTCGGATTTGTTCTGTCAGTTTATCTTTCAACGCAATATCATAATAAAAAACACCCCTCTCATTCCAACCAGAAAACAAGTTTTAGAAACATTCCTCCACCAGCCAACTGTCACATTTCGTTAATTATTTTTAATTGTTCCCGTCCGAAAGTGGCGAGTCCGTGGCATCGTGTTTTTTTTTTGCTCGCCCCGACTCCTCCGACGCCAATAATTGTCATCATTATTATACCTCGAAAATTCGATTATTTTTACGACTCAACTGAGCTGACAGCGAAGAGCAGGTAAAGGTGTATGGTTATTGCATCTGCTTCCCTTCGTCTGGCACTCACGCGAGGTTGTCCCGGCAAGGTCTTTCGTCCAGCCGGGAGAGAATTTTCCCTCCCAATGCTGGGCGAAGGGGAAAATTTCGGGAGCCAAATGGAAAGTGAAAGGACTGTCGGTTGGGGTAGCTGGCCGGGAATGGTTGACTGGTGTTCATGGCAACAACGTCAACCGGTTTACTATGGGTGAGAAAGTACCTCGGGTATCCTTAAGGCGCATGTCTCTCTCTCTCTCTCTCTCTCTCTTTCTCTGTCTCAGCACAGTGCAATCATTCTCGGTTTTCTCGGTAGGGGAAATTTGAAGAACTCGATGCAAATGACCTTTGCGTGCGTGGGTGGTGGTGGATAACGTGACGTTTGACGGGTGCTGCTTTGAATAGAATTGTAATGCTTTGGAGTTGAATCGAAATGCGAAATTCGAATACTTAAAATGCAGTGGAATAACAAAAACAACTCCACTCGAATGTGATACTGTTATAATCTTCCAACGGAATGGGTATCAATGTTAGTTGTATAAACAGATTGTTTTCGGGCCATATGGCACGACATTATCTTGAATCCAAAAATACTCTTTCACTTTCGGTTTTGGTTCGTTTTCAAACTCGCGTAACATTCGAAAAGGGCATATCTGCTTTTGTAAAGAAAAATTGTAATGCCCCTTTCGCACGAATCGAAGCTCGCCAATGCAAACCAACGGTCTTGTTTGCAAAAGCTGATAGGCACTTTTCAACTGTTACGCGAGATTTGCTCCGAAAAATTGACTACCGCGCTCTTATCGTCGTTGTCAAAGTATTCGAACATTACATTGGACATTAGTAACAGTGTAGTATTAAAATCCCATTACTCAAATGGATTTGCATGTTTACCATCTGTGTGTCCCGCTTCCCTCGGGTGGGGTACGCATCAGATTCCCAATCTTTCCCTGTGTAGTAAGCGTCCGAGTGTTGGTGTTTACACACGTTTTCCTCTCTATATTCCATGGGACGCTTAAATTTTCGGTTTTTCGCTTCGATCCACACAACACGACACGAGGAAGCATGGGCAAGAGCAGCTATATAGAGCTCCTTTTCTTGTAACAAACACATGTCTCAATATATGTACCTACAGAGGCAGAGGGCGCGCGAATCGACTCTCGATTCGATTCGATAGCGCAGTGGAGGCCCGCCGTAGACCGAATCGAATTTAGTCGACGGTTGACTTTCAAGCGAACAGGTTTGGGATCGGAGTTTTGAACCGTGTGCGGTACCTTCTTTCTTCTAGAGTGTGAAAATCAGTGGAAATTTGGGTCGCCACTCACACCGGAACGGTCGGTGGGAAAAACAGTGCAGTTTGAACTGAACCTTGAAACTTCAGTGGTTACGTACACAGCTCGAAGGGCAACTACGGGGTGGTATTTTTCCGCCTAAGTCGATTGTGTTGACAGTTTAAGGTGAGTCGAGCCGACCTTCAAATCAAGATGCCACATACAAAGTTTTTCCGGATTACTTAAGTCGGTATTAGGAGGTTTTAAGTAACGCGGCAAATTTATCCACGCGTAATTTACTTCTAACAATCAACAGGTTTTTTTTGTCTATCATAGCAACAAGCGAAACAAAAATCTCCAGTATGACATATCGGAGTAAACAATCTCATTATGATCGTTTTGCCGAAAATATGAGCGACATGTAAGCGGGCAGTCAACAGCCGTGCGTTCATTGCACAGTGGTCTAGAGATGGAAATTAGTAGGAAATACACATTTTGACCCAGAAATTGACCACAGGATGGTTGAAGGCTCTTTAATAAAAACCTACCACCGAACTAACGAGCATAGTGTCTTCTGTGCAGTTGTTGCTTACAATAAGGCCTTTATTTTGATGAAAGATTTGCAACAAGGGTGGAACTAAAAGTGACAAAATTAAACATTTAACTTTTTTATTTCTGATTATATCATGATGAAACTTTATGCAGAGTTGAAAATTACGTTATTTCAAGGAAATTTGCTGAAGAAAGAATAGTGGTAAAACTTATGATCAATTTTCTAGAGCAGATAGGGTGTCCCTAAAAAATAATTTTTATAGCATAACTGAAATATTTCAAACTCTACGTGAAAGTTGTCTTCTACATTTTTTAAAATACTCATTGAGAAGAAGATTTTTGCTGAAGGAAGTACCTCGTTTAATATTTTATTAAAAAAGTTATGTTAAAATTTCTTCAAATTTAAAGCCATTTCCAATTGTTGATATTTTCAGTTGGGGAAAAAAGGGGGATATTTATTGTAGCAATCGAAATTTGGTGTTACAATGCATGTTTTTTGAAGAAATTAAAGCGTAATTAGTGCAAAATACATGTATGCCAATAAAATTAGTTTTTTTTTCAATGAAATTAGGTTATAGCTGTCCAAGAAAAAGAGACTGCAAATTTGGTACTTCAGCAAAAAACATGCGTAATCAAAAGTTCTGAAAGGTTCTAGTATACATGATTTACAAAAAATCAATACAGAAAATGTTAACTTATTAAAACCTATATTTAGGGATCATCCTAATATGCTTCTTAAAACTTCAGTTTGGAGAAAAATGGTCGTAACTTTTTTATTAAATTATAAAGCATTGCATTTTCTTCAACAAAAATAAACTATTTCATGAGTAGATAATAGTAGTACAAGACAACATTCGCGTATAATTTGAAATAAAAGAGTTATTCTATAAAAAGTGTTTTTGTTTAGGAACACCCTATCTTAAATTAAAAAAAAAAAAAAAACTGGTAGTTTCAACTGCAAAATTTCTTGAAATTACGTAATCTACAACTTTGTAGAAGAAGGTTTCATCATGGTGTAATCAGAAGCAAAAAAACATTCAAATTTAATTTTTTTTAATTTTTACAACCACCCTATTTGCAACTTCCATCAAAATAAAAGCCTTATTATTAAGCAACAGCTTCACATGGTGTGGTAATGTTGCAATTTCCGTCTCAAAATATTCGTTTCCTCCTAATTTTCATCCCTGGACCACTGTGCTGGCATTGGTCGGAACTTCTCGAGCGTGAAAGTGCGACAAAATAAGCTACATCCCGGACGTGTGGGAGGTCAAGTTCGGTGTAGATAAAAACGATCTAGCCCTTCGGTGTCAAGTGATTCGGTAAATATTTCACATGTAAATTCTGTAAGCCCAATGACAACGATGAATGCTGCGTCGCATTGAGGCTGTTGTAATACAAGGAGCGAGCGAGCGAGTCAGCCAGCTTCAGGGAAATCAACGATAATTGAAAGCGATACGCAATTACTGAGTTATGTTCGGTGTAGTGTTTCGATTTGTCACCTCTGAGTGGCATGGATGCTTTTTTTTATGAATTAATGATGGTGCTAGCTGCTGTGAGACAATCCGATTGTGAGGATTATTTGGAGCGCCAAATGTGCCGCTGTAACTAGATGGTGAAACATTTGTTCGATTTCCGAGTTATGTGGTGCCGCTGTAATTTAAAACGGTACGCTTTCCTTGTTTTCTACTTCAAATCTACTTGTTTTGGTTGATACTGGATTTGTTTCAGTTTGAAGGCATCATTTCAAGTGGCTATATAGCAAACTTCTCTATACCTGAAATATATATATTCTGTTGTTGACGCGTGTTTGTAGCCTTAATGGATGTACAAGCAAGACGGCTTGTAATTGATACCGATCGTCGTGACACTCTCATGGTGTTTTTTTTTTATCTTTATCAAGGAAGGTAACGTACTTCACCTTGGCAGAATTTTTTAATTAATTTTTTCTAGCGCCTGTGATTGTTGACTTTACTCGTACATGATTCTAAGGTTGTGACATTTCGAAAATTATTCTATATGTTCGAAAATCCGTGTGCTGTCAATCGACCGGTTTTCGAGAAGAACTCAGCCACTGTTGTCAAAATTTAACTTCTTGTCGGTTAGAAATAACCATGCTCGGATAGCAGGGTTAATCGATAACTTTCCATCTGTCAAATTTTAACTAAAAGTTAAAAAAAATCGCGAAATGGTTCAGAGCCTAAAGCGTTGTTGAATCATTATACATTTCTAGCGCTTGCCGCTGTAAACAAATTGTATCAACTATTATTTAAATGCCCATGAGCAATGAAAGCGGCAGCGGAAAATCCCGATGTGACTAAGCCTACTTGTCGGATTGAAAACTAGTTAGGCTGTGTTCCATTTAGGCTCTGAACCATTTGGTGGATTATTTTAACTTTTGGTTAAAATTTGACAGATGGAAAGTTATCGATTAACCCTGCTATCTGAGCGTGATTATTTCTGACAGACAAGAAGTTAAATTTTGACGACCGTGGCTCGAAAACAGGTCGATCGACAGCACGGGGATTTTCGACCATAAGAAATAACTTTCGAAATGTCACTTTTAACTACGAGTTAAATTTAACTCGGTAAAAGGTTCACAGCCTTAGTGAACTTTCACTTAAATTTGACACTTCGAAAATAAATTATAATGTTCGAAGACCCCTCTGTTGTTGATCTTCCGATTTACGAAAAGGTGTTTGTCAAAATTGATTCCTTGTCGGTCAGAAATAAGTTGGTACAATAGCAGGTTTATTTTAAAATTTTACATCTGTCAAATCTAAGTGAAAATTCACCAAATGGAACACAGCCTTAGAACCTGGGACGGGACTCGACAATCGGGTAGCGATTTCGAGCCAATTTGCTGTCAAATCCAAGCCAGTTTCTGATTGGTCGATTTGACAGTAGCAATCGTGAAATAAAAGGACAGAGAAACCGCATCAATCTGGCTGTCAGTGATGCCGGAAACAATGTTGACGTCAATGGCGTTGTTAATTGTTTCTATTTTCTATAGGAAAATTGAAAAATTTAGTGCATTGCGTGTTTTGTTTATGGTTGATATTATTGTTTGTTTATGGTTGTTTTTATTTTGTTGAGCAAAACTGATGTTCAAGCTGCTAAACTGCGGTAGAAACTCTGAATAAAATCCAAATTAAATTAGAAAAAAATATTTTACATTCCTAGCATCATTGGCCAACTCCGTCAAACACCACGCACAACTTTCCGAAGGGCATTCTTTAAAAACATTAAGAAGAGTGAGAAGCTCGATTGTCAAGTCCCGTCCCAGATTAGAACCAAATCGACTTCGATTGGGCATCTTGATGTCATTGGCAAATGATATAAAGTAACATCTCTGCTCGCTTGCTTACGGAACAGACGTTCCTATAAAGGAGGAAACTGATTCATTTGTCACATTTCTTTTAATAGATTAGAGTGGATCAGATAAGTCGAGGACGAGATGCAAATCAAGTCATGGGTCAACAAACACAAACAAATCAAAAGGTAGAGGAAATTTTTACCCAGGCTAACGGTGTTGCTAACGTGTGTGGGTGAACTTTAATTCGCTAGGAATTGCCGGTTGAAAAACATGTTGACAGAATCGATGAGCGATATTGACAAATCAAAATCATTTCCGGACTTCACGCTGATTGCTCATTGTACTTCATTCATACTCCAGATTATATTGATAAAGAAGAACATATTATGAAATATCCAATGAGCTACCACCATGAACTGGATAAAATCATCTACTAATTATAGACATCATAGACGAGTCACTAACTTTTAACAGATGAAAGGAAATCCACTTCCCAGAGACGATATTTTATAAGAGACGCACGGAGATTATAAATAAATATAAGTAAATCTAGTTGCATTTTGTCTGCAATGTTTGGCAAACCGCAACTTAGTGTTTACTTCGAGTGACTTTTAATTTGAGCGACTGCCATCTGCTTACGGTAAAACGAATACTTTTTTGACCTTATCGGTTGCCATTATTTGAACAATTGCATTGAAATGCGTGGCATCCTTCTGTAAAAATACACCGATTAAAACGTGAAAAAATGTCCGTTTCTTCTGGTTTACTCATTTTGCGACAATTTTTTTTCTCAGTGTGCCTCACGTGTGTCGCAGCTGTGCCGGCAGTGCCGAGAGTGCCAGTTATTGAACTGGCAACCCGCTTAATTTGACAGTTCAAATGTTTTGTTTTGAAGCAACAACGATGGTCTAGAGTAAAGAGGCTGAATATATAAAGAGACGACATGTCAGAATTGGAACAATCCATTATCTGTCAAAGTCATGGGTAAAGTTATTGCAATCGAGCAGAAGACCTGTCAAATGGATAAGATGTCGTCTCTTTACCCAATTCAGTCTCTTTAGTGACTAAAGTTTAGTCTAGAGGAGTGCCTAGTAGAACATGCTGATACTCGACAAACCGGAAGATGGCGATCAAGTTCCTCCGACCAAGACACCATACCAAATTTCCAGCCGCTGCAGCAAGCTTCTGCTATCGATTCCAACCACCCGTCAACGATCAGGCACGAGAGAAGCTCTTCCGGGGATCTAAATCGGCTGCGGAGACGATTGCAGCTTGAAATCGGCCGGGATAGCGCGGAAACACTGTTTGAGGTGGTCAAAAT